AGAGAGAGAGAGAGAGAGAGAGAGAGAGAGAGAGAGAGAGAGAGAGAGAGCAAAGGAGACACGTGTCCTTTCCGCGCGAGAATATGTAAAATCAGGAATCTCTGTTATAGGAATATAGCTGTCAAGGAGGCACCTTCGACAAGTGCACTTTCGTAATTTCGCGTTACTTTCCTCGGCAGACTGTCGAATTTCTTTGAGATCCCGACCAAATGTGCGACGTTTGTATTGACTCCGAGTTTTTAACGTTTACATTATGTCTCCATACGTGGGAGTTGCACCGCGATCGTAATCGGGCACCACCCAGATGCACCCGCGCGTTTCTCGGCGGCGCGCAACTCCGCGGTCGGTCTTTTTATAGCGATTTAATTGCACTTTGAAGCGCCGAAGGTTAGTAGTATCGCTGCCACCGTTGTGAGTCGGGTGTTCGCAGGCAAGAGAGAGTACGACTAAACGTGTTATCTGCTACTCGGTATCGTTGATACGACCTGCCTGACGATGGCGGTTGATGTACACGTAGAGCCTTGATTAGGAATCTAGCGAGAGGAAAGTGTTTCTCGAATGAAACGCGCGCGTGGCGATGTACAATAATAATAATTGCAAGGAAACCGCGGTTGGCGTCTCGCAGTCCGGAGACTGTCGACGAGACAACGTTGTGTATGTACTTCGTCTCGACTGAATGCGTATTACTTTTCGTTTCCCCTTGGAAACCTCGTTTTCTTATTCACATTGTCGCAAAATAAGTACGAATCGTTTCTCCCCACTGTACTGCACACAGATCGGCACGATAATCTTAACGCGTAAAGTTATATCATTTTGAAGCTTCCTTCGATATGTCATACGTCTTTGAAGAATACAACTTCATGTCCCAGACAGCGCACAATCTACTAAAAGATGTCATTTCTCTCGGATATCTTTTGGACGTCTTTGGCCTGTATTAATAGTTATCACTTGGGACTCGTCTCATGTGAGATTCTCAAGTTTACATTCCGACAAAATAACAATATTATTAAGGACAATAAGAGCCAAAAATTGTTGGTGTTATGCGCTTATAATTTAACCATGTCAATAAATCAGAAATATATTAAACTAATTTAATTTAAAAGTGAAAATTCTTTGCTTTGGAAAAGCAAAGCTTTTAACTTAAATTAACTTTGTATATTTCTGATTTATTCACATGGTTAAATTACAAACGCATAACATCAGCAATTTTGGGCTCTTATTAATAATTATCTTTGTAATTGTTATCTTGTTTTAATTCCTAGAGCCGTTATAGTTTTATTATTTTACATTCTGAGTTAAATCCAAGTTTTTTCAGTTGAATTGCGATATGTGTGACGTTTATATTTGTAGTCATGATTCAACTAGAAAAACTTTCATCTGACTCTGAGTTCATATTTAAGTATCATAGTTGAGACGAGTTTCAAGTATTAATACGAGCCTCTGTGACGTCTTTTAGTGTGTCTTTTCGCTGCTCAAGGCTATTGTCAGGGCTATTGTGCCGAGCTGTGCACGCTCGACGCGTCTGTGAGAATTTGTGCTCATACACGTCAACCGGCGGTTCGACGATGCACAGTCCAATGAAGTAACGCCGCGCGTAAACACGGCCGAGCGAGTGTAAACGGTAATACTTAGTTAGTAAACAACACTGCCAGTCATACATTACGAATTTAATCGACGGTACTTGTGCAAAAGAATATAGCCTAATCCGCGAGCGTACTCGTATAATATCGCCAGCCACGACGCGAACTCGTCGACGGCCACGTCGTCGAACGTTCGCGCGATGGGGGGGCGTATCGTCGCGTGAACGCTTCGTAATTATACAATATCGACTGTCATTATAACGATAATATTCGCAATTACTTAACGAGAAAGATACGTAAGTGTAATCGCCATTACGAGGAATCATCGGCTCCTCCTCGTGAAAGTCGACGCGTGATCGTTGGGTCATTGTTCGAATTTAATCGAATGGAGATGTCTCCCCGTGATTCTCCCCTCGAGAGAGAGAGAGAGAGAGAGAGAGAGAGAGAGAGAGAGAGAGAGAGAGAGAGAGAGAGAGAGA